ATTAGATGTGAATTGGTGTTCCCTTGTTAGAATGTATAACATCATTTAACAAATGTTTTTAAAAAATGTGTGGGATAATGCTCTTGAGACATCAAATGCATTCATTGGAGAATGTGATTGTTTCAGGCCATTTGGTGCATGCTTCAAATTGTTTGCTTGCAAGTGTTGTCAATGTGTTAAATTGTTAGGTTCATGTGTAGACATGAATCAGTATTTGACTTTACTTTTTATGTATAGATTTTTAAAAATTTAATATTTTACTTAATAGTATATATTATATAATTTAATATATTACTTAATATTTGTTTAATTTTTCAGCTATACTTCTCTCTGTGGCAGTCATCATGTTTGGGTCAAGAGCAGATAACTCTAGAACGTGGCTGGAAAAACCTGATCAGAATTATTTGTCCTGGTCCTTTGGGATTTGTGTGTTGGCAGATTTTCTTGCAATCATTGCAATGATGTTTCAGTTCCTTGAATTTTTCCGCCTTCGACAAATGCATGGCAAAGGAGGTGAAGGTCCTATAGTCCTTTTGACTAACCAGCCTCCTCCACCCAGCAACTATGCCTATAGCCGCAACCCTCAAGTACAAAGCAGCAACCCTAGTTTTAAACAGCCTGCTTATGCAGACAGATATTCCACTAAGGGGTCTCAGTCCTCACTCAATGCTAGACCACCAACAACTCCCTTCGCTGTCAGTGGTGCTGGAGAAGTCTACATTAATGGTCTTGCTGACTTTGATGAAAACCGACCCCAGCGGGTCACATCCAGACCCCCACCTTACCAAGAAAAAAGACCTGCAGATACCCTTGATTCACGGCGTGTGAATTACAACAATTCTTTTAAATCAGCAGTCAAAACAGAGCAAAATGATTATGAAGATTCAAAGAAAGTCAATCATCCTGTTTTACCAGAGTACAAGCCAAAAGCTAAAGATGATGTCAAAAAGAAACCACCTAGTACTACATCAGAAAGCTCTGATGAAGATAGTGATGCTCGCTCTGTTGAGAAACTGAAAAATGAAAAGTCTCAAACCAAAACATCATCAAAAACTAAAACGAGATCTAGCTCAGAAAAGCAAAGAAAGGGCAAAAACTCTGATGATAATAAAAAATCTGAATCTCGCAGTTCCAAGCGACGTTCAGATTCGAAGAAACGAAACAATAAAGATGAGGATTCTGATGACAGCAGAAGTCGGAGTAAAAGACGGTCTAGTTCCAAAAAGGGAAGCTCGTCTGGTTCTAAAAGACGAACTTCTCATTCTAGGGATCGAAGTCATTCCAGAGGTCGCAGCCACTCTCGAGATCGCAGTCATTCCAGAGACCGTAGCAGGTCAAAGGATTTAAATTCCTCTGACTCTGACACTGGTTCAGTTCATAGCCGGTCTCGAAAGAGACATGAAAAAAACAGCACGCTATCTCGAAAAGATACTAAAAGGCGATCAGCATCCGAAGACAAATCGCATAGCAAACATAAAAATTCACATAGGACCAAATCAAGTGGCAACCGCAGTGACGACAATATCTCAGGCTCAGAATACAGCAGTAAACCTAAAACTAGATCAAGTGACTCTGTGAAGAAATCAAGGTCACGTGACTATTCCGACAATGAGAGCATCAAAAGTAAACAAAGCAAAAAGGGAGGGAATAAACCCAAAGGCACTTACTCAAGTTATTATGAATATTAATGGGTTTTTTTTCATAATGTTGTAATATAGTTTAAATTTAGAATACTTAATTATTTTTAACGTTTAAAAGCTGTGTTTTCTATATGTATATATAAATATGTTACATATCTGTTAAATATTATTGACAAGAGGGATTTACTTAGAGTACCTTTAGGAAGGCATAAACATTCATTTAAGACAACTCCTAAATGAAGTTTTCTAAGCTCAAGGCCCAGATCACACCAACATATTAGAATTTGTTAGAAATAAAATGTTTGTAAAGGTTTGTCATATTTTTTATAAGGAATGTTGTTTTTCTTTTAAAGAATTTTTTTTATGTACATGTTTTTAAATAAGGAATGTTTATATATTTATGTTTTTTAAATTTATGATAAAAATTTTTTTGGTTGTTAAAAAGTAATTTGTTGTCTTCTTCTTGATATTACTCGCAATCCCTTGATGCCAGTATCACAAGACAATGACATGGTGGAAAGAATTTATTCTTAAGAAATTCACATGTTGTAAAGCTAATTTTCTTGTCTTGTTCTGAAATAAATTGTATTCAATATTTCATCTAGCTGTACAGAACAGATAATGTCATAATATGTAACTGTTAGTGTTATGACTTTGAGTTTCATACATCGATGAGAATTTTTTTTTGTTGAAGTATTTATTAGCAACATCTTAGTTCATTTTTTGTATATACAATGTCTATAAACGTAACTCTTTCTCTCTGTAATTATTCTCCACTTTCTGACGGAATTATTCATTTTGTTCATATATATTTCACTACCCTGTTATGATTTAACTTTAATAACTTTTTTGTTTGTTATCAGAAAATGTTATATTTGGTATACAATTAAAGGAGAATGCTTGATGTTTATAAAAGCTTATTTCGCGAATGGAACTTAGACATGACTGTGGATAATTCTCCATTAAAACTATATCTAGGCAATGTTTCATTATCCAAATTGATAAAAAGGTCTTTTTGATGATAGTTATTTATATTTTTACAAAAATTAATAAATAATATATATAAAACATTTATGTTAATTGTCATGAAGTCCCTATCCCATGTCACACCCCTATAAAAAAAATTAATATAGAAATATAGAGCCTTTTTTGGCTCCCACTCTTTAAAAACATCAGTTGTTTTTTTTGTAAAAACACAATGAAAATTGATCATTGATTAGGTTGCAGAATGGAGTAAAATCATGATGATATCGTTGATTAGGAGAGAAAGAGTTAAGTGAAACTATTTAGAAATTTTAAATTAGAAATACAATTTCTTTTTTCTTTAAATTCAGCGATACAATTCTTGTTACTAACTAACAAGTTATTCTCTTTACTTCTAAGAAGTATTGCAATAAACACCGCGGGAGTTTCTTTTAGTAATTGCTCATTTGATTTGAAATGAAGTCTGCACAAACCTTTCAAGAATTATCTTGATTTGGTCGTGTCTCACGTGGTGAGTGAAATTTTCAACATTGAACATTTTTAGTCTTCATTCTGAGTTGTCAGACTTGGTTTCCTTATCACTGTAGCCTTGGCTCTCTTTGGGTGATTGGTGGCTGAGGGATAAAGCGCTTGACTTCCATACCGAAACATCTCCAGGTGAACACTGGGATGTTGAACTCAGTATTTCGTTACCAACTCTAAATGAGTAACTGACAGAATTAGTTGAAGTAAAGGCTCTTGAGCATTTGTGCTGGCCTCGTGAAATCCTATTTAAATGTCAGCCATAGAAACATAAGCATCTTCTGTTCCCACAGATTGCAAGGTCTGAAAGGGAAACCTTTTCTTTTTTATTTTAGGATTTTCTTAACTATGGACAATACTCATCACATCATTTAATAACAGAATAGTTTTCCTTATGCAGTGTCAATTGACTAGACTAAGAAGTAGATGTATATTATTGTCTAGGTTAGAAAATCTAAATCAACCACCTGCGGACAATGGTTATGCTTGCCTTGGATGTGGCAAAAGATGTAGGCCACAGCTGGGGCTGCACAGCCATGGGAAATACTGCATTCATCACAAGTCTTTGGACTCAAAGACAATCCTTATTATTATTAGGTTAGACAATGCAGAATAGTGGTATGTCTCAACCAGTGTTTCTCTGTGTTCAGTGGAATACTAAAGCCTGAGTAGCTGTTCCACAAACTACTGAAATAATTAGGTAGTAGGCCACCAGGCAAATTAATTTCTCTTCACAAAATAAGCCAAGTGTTCTGCTAAATACTCAGAATGTATGAAGTGTTCCGTCAAGTAAAAAACATGGGAAACACTGGTCTAGTCTGTTTACAATCACTGCAAACTTAATAAGTGAGATTTTTTTTAATTTAATTTTTTTTACATTGCTTAGTTATCCAAAGTTTCTAAGTATACATTTTTTCTTTGTGTATTCTTCTTTCAACCAATAGTTTAAAGTGAGTTAAGTTCTCACTATCACCATAGCTGAAATGATTTTTTTCTAACAACATGTCAGGATTATAAACTGCTAGTCCTTTGACAGCAAAGGTTGAAATGGTGTTGGAGTCAGTTCAGGAAGTCTTTTTTTGTACATCTACACTAGCAGATAATAACCTTGTATATAATTATGATTACTTATAGTTTTTCTGTTATTTCCTCCTTAAAATCTGCTTTGTTGTTATTGTCAGGCAGTGTCTCTATTATAATTATTATTTGGTTGTTGTTTTTTATAGCTATGGAACAAATATAATGAAATGTGTTTACGAAAGTTTGTATGACATATTAACTGTGTATTGTTTGAATGGTATTTATGATTAGAGAGTGAAATTGTTGTCAAAAAGTTGGTTTTATTTTTATACAAATGTGTAAATATGTTTCTATTTTTAAAACACATTTCAACTGTGTATGTAAATAAAAAACTATGCCTTATCTACATTTTTTTCATTTTCTAAGTAATTTAAAAAAAATTTTTTTTTCAAGACAGCAATAAGGTATGGTTAAACATAAACTTTTGTCAAAGTCATTCCATTCAACACATTCCCAGACGGCACAGGGCTTATATTTGACATGCCTAAGACACATTCAAATCATTTCAAAAGATTGTACAGTGATCTCCTGTACCATAGTTCATCCCATTCAACAGATTGTTTAATGTAAATAATCATTTATTATCATCTACACTTTGAAATATATATTTTGTAAGATAAATAAAAGCTTTTCTTTAAGAATATATTTATAAGCAATGTCATATACATAATTCTTTGAAGTTTGAAACTTGAATTTTTTATATTTTTTCTTACTTATTTATCATTATTGTCCAAGTCTCATGGAGTGATGTATTGCTTTTATTTATGTGACCGATGTGCACAGGTGTCTAAATGCTGGATAGTAAGTTACCTATTTCTCGAAGGAAAAGCTTTCACAAACTTGTTTGAACTCTTAATGAAAGTGGTCAGCCTGGGTCTGATGGAATGATCTGATAAATGTACGGTTTGATGCATTGTTTATTTCTACAGAATTTAATGCACTTGTGGGTGGCAGAAGTGAGTGTAAGGTGACTTATGGCCATACATTTTCTTGTATTGCTGATTGTGTATGCATCTATCAGTTAATGTAGCCTAGGTTTGATGGAAATAATGTTAAATAGTATTACTAATATTTGTGAACAGTTTTACATGATTGGGGATAGATTATAATTTTGTTAAGTTAAAATTCATACAAATAAATCTAGCATATTTTAAGAATTTCAATTAGAAAAATTGTTTCTGCATCAAGAAATACTTCTGTCAGACAAGTAATTGAGCCAGAAATCTAAAAATTAAATATATTTTGACATTCATTACCATTATGATTTTCTTTTTAGTTTGTTTCAATGTAACACTTTCTTAAAGGGGATACAATTCTTTATTTACTAATTGCTGACATTTAGGTCTGTAGTTTTGAAATCTCTAGGTGTAAATGTCTCATTTTGAAGGCTGAGAGTAAAAGTTGGTAGCCATAATTCATTGGTACCCTAAGTTTATTTGTCAAGGTTTAAAAAAACAAACAATTAGTTTGATATATATTACTAGGGTCTGCAGACAAGGTAAGGAATCAACTTTTACCATCATTTGTTATGTTCAATCACTCTTTCATCATCATGTGCTCAATTTTTTTTTATTGTATTTTTTCATATTGTGAAAATTATGAATTTTGTGAATAATTATTTTTTGTTTACTACTGAAATAAATTTTGAACTACTTCATTGTTTGATATATTTTTGTTGTTCTTATAAATTTTATTTTTTTATGAAAAGCTCTTTATAAAAAAAAAAGTTAAATAAAGGGAGACTACATCTCATTGATGTGTAATTTACAAAGAGAATGTATATTTAACAAATTGTTCCCCCTTCGAGTGGTAGTTATTATTTAAACAATTATGATAGATAGATGTCCTCTTTTTCTTTGGTAATGGTGCATCCTGTGGGATACAGAGCTAGTTAGATCATACATGTCATTTCATCCGACATTTGTTCCAAAAAAAATTTTCCTCCATTACCTCCTCGTCATTTACAAGGTGGCCCTTTTACTTCTGCCAGATTCTCCTTCAGAGTGTGCTCCCTTGAACTTTCATCACCTCAAACATTTAGCTTCATTTGCTTGGGTTAAGGGGTTAGGTTGTTTGTTTTTTTTTAGTCTTTTCTCTAGATTTATTAGGCATCCTCCATAATTTTTTCTACATACTTCGGTACCATAAACCAGTTAGTCCGTTTATTTAAGGTTTTTAGAGCTATCACATTTATTTTCTCTGGTGGTTGGACTCATCTCAGTGTTTACAGTAAAATACACTATGTTCTAATGAAGCTATTCTTCTATGACCAACGCATGATACGTCGCCTCCTCACGAGATACGGCAAGATGAAGTACATGTTTTCAAAAAGATATAAACTTTGTGGAGTAGCGTTGTAATCTTTGCAGAATGCTGACCACTTCTGCTTAGCTTGACTTCTGTATCAACAGGTCAGTTTCGGTTACCGGTTCCAAAATAACCTTCTCAGTCATAAGATAAACTCTGCGAAGGGCTCTCTGATATGAAAACAACTGCCCAGACTACAGTTCATTTCAGATATTAAAGAATTATTTGACATCACAGAGTTAGGACTAATTATTTGAACTCTCCAATGATAGAAATAGAGACGAAATCAAAGTCAATTTTACAATATTACATAGATGTATAAAGATGGTTAATCTCTCTCTCTCTCCTTTTCTTACTCTCCTAAAATAAGTAAAATATAAGGAAACGCAATTTCATAAGTAAATGAATTATTTAAAGGATGATTTTATATCTGATATATGCACCTAATATACTTACATTCTGGATGAGTATATTTTATGCTTCATTTTATTCTTCTGAATGTGTTTGTTTTATTCTCTATTTTGTTCTTCTGAATGTGTATGTTTTATGCTCTACTTTGTTCTTCTGAATGTGTATGTTTTATGCTCTACTTGTTCTTCTGAATGTGTATGTTTTATGCTCTACTTTATTCTTCTAAATGTGTATGTTTTATGCTCTACTTTGTTCTTCTGAATGTGCATGTTTTATGCTCTACTTCTTCTGAATGTGTATGTTTTATGCTCAACTTGTTCTTCTGAATTTGTATGTTTTATGCTCTACTTTGTTCTTCTGAATGTGCATGTTTTATACTCTACTTGTTCTTCTGAATGTGTATGTTTTATGCTCTACTTTGTTCTTCTGAATGTGCATGTTTTATGCTCTACTTGTTCTTCTGAATGTGTATGTTTTATGCTCTACTTTGTTCTTCTGAATGTGTATGTCGTAGCCTTAAACAAAAATATAAGAACTTCATATGAACAAAACGTTCTGCCACATCTAATGGCAATGTCTTCGATATCAAAAATTAAGAATGAGTCCAGTGCTTCACATGACCACGCGAACCCAGTTCCTACATGCATATTTTCCCACATCTGATGCAGACAAAGCTGTTGTCCGCAAGGTGTCTATTTAAGTTATCTCTACGTCCCCTGCGCCTGTCTGACACAACGGGTTTAGTGAGAGCTATCCAACTGGCTCTTTCAGAGGCCATCTGCTGCCAGCTACTTTCCTCTATGCCAGTGGGGGGGCGAAATGAAGGCTGCGGGTAAAGAGGGGAGGGGGGCACTGTAAAATTTGCAATGAGTTTTAAAATATATTTTACGCTCAACCCTGATGTTTAAACTAGGCGTTCCACTCAAGACATATCGTTTTCTTTCAATAGACGTGTTCTAAATAAAGCTAGGCCAATAGATAAACGCAGACAAAACGTAGTCGCTGAATATATATATATATAGATAAATATATAAAGTAAGGCAATCGTGACAGACATTTCTACGCGTCCTTCGCAGACGCACTTAGCTGATGTCCACGCCTGTGCTAGCGGCTCTTCTGGGTGTATCATTCAAGACCTTCTATCGGGGGTCTGAATAAAGCGGAGTTTTGTTGAATCCGTACCAAGTAGAGCGTTCAGTCGAATAGTATCACAGATCATAAAGCAAACAAAAGGGTCAAACTAATGAAAGATCAATACTGTTTACTCAGATCAGCATTGAAGAGAAAAAAAAAAGGGGGGGTAGGGGTGAAACCAGTATGCTATCATTTATCGCCCTTTAAATTCCCACTCTTGTCTCTAAATGAAAAGGAACTTTCAATACTCGTTTTATTGGTGCCTTTTTTATAGAGATAAAAGTATTCTTATATACGACATATTTTTCTATATTGCGTTAAACCGCGTTGCTATTAAATGACACGTTGTAGATAATCAAATATGTGAACTCATCGATAAAATGTCATAGTGCTATATTGAAAGTTATGATTTCTATATCTCGCCCTATCCAATCCCTCTCCTGTGCTTCATTTATTTTCCTCGACTCCCCCCCAGCCGGGTCTCATACTTTCTCTATTAAATCGCACACTTGACAAAGAACCGTAACGCATTGACGCAAATAACGTGTCCGATGTCATTGCTTCCCCTTATGTGGTTAAAAATATCGACTTACTGTTTTGTTTATTGAAGCAGTTTAGAGGTTTATTTTGTGAGGACATATTAGTGCAGCGATAGAGGGGGAAATTATTTCATAGGTAAGTAGAATTCATTTATCAAGTATTATTTTTTTGATTGTCTTAATATGAATTAGATTTGTGTTTATACGAAGACTCTCTTTAAATCATAATTTTTATGATGATTCTTTTTATTCGTGAATTGTAAACGTCTCTGTTCTGTTTTTGTTTATATCTATAAATTGTTTCATTATAACATTATTTCAACAACTAGTAGAACAGAACTATTTTTAAGAAATAGTATTTATTGGGGGACCATAAATATAGATATAAAATTTAGTTAGGGTAAATTATCAAATAAATCATTCACAGCGTCCAACGAGATTTAAACTCTGGATCCTTATTTCGAATGTCAGACAGAAATTACTGAAGGCAAATGTCTAAGCATGGCAGGATTTTTGTGGAGGATCCTGCACTTTTTCGATTAAGAAACTGGAACCGACACAAAATAGAGCAGTGAGATTAATAACAACCGATTATTCACTTTCTATTATAGTAACACCTTTAGTAAATTTCAAAGCCCTTCATGATAGAAGACTTTACGCACAGATTTGTTGTTGCTGCTCTAGAATCTAGATCGTTATCAAATTGAATCACGTGACCGATCCAAACTTATTGATACAATTACACTTCGTAGAAGCTTGTTGTTGTTTTTTTTTTTTCATTTTTCCTTACGTTTTCCCTTTTTCTAGTCAGATTTGTTTAAAATAGTTTAAATATCAGTTTATTTCATCTCAAGTTGGGCTTTTTCTAGATTGTAACAAAAGTTATATTTAGTTTTGTTCACAAAGAAGCTATTCACGCGATTTCAAGTTTTATAAGTTAAAATATGAATCCTCTACAGCGTTTTAAGTTGTCTACCAGAAGTCTGGGGCTACAAGTCAACCGCCGTCAATAACAAGGTAGAATCACGAAAGTGATACGTCAGAGACAACGAAATGTGAAATAAAAACACAACCGTCAAATGTTTAACTGTTTAGTGATTTAGATAATTAGCTTTTTGTATTTGATCGAAAAGTTTGTTTTGGAAAGGGGTGGTTTCGCACCGGGTGACACCACCTCCAGCCTCGCCTCTGCAAGACCGTGAATAACACTGTTATATTAACAGATATCGGTCACAGTGGTAAACAAAGAACGTGTAAGACCTTAGAATGACTAGCCAACCATACTTCTCAGTTCAGATGCTTGATAATATAGAATATTACGGCTAGGGTTCAAACCCATGCCTCGAAGTTCGGTGGCCCAGGGTTGTAATATTTAACCACTATTGCCAAATTTCGTCAAGTAGACCTGATTGTCCCCTCCCTTTTTTTGGCGACATTCTTCTTCGTGTCGCTAAGTCTATTGAGTATGATTTATATGTAGATTTATGTTTTATTAAAATACAAAGAAAAAAAACACACACACACATTGTGACAGAGACGTAACCTATATTATGATGTCAACACATAGGCCCTATATCAAATCTTCGATTACGTATATGTTATGTTTACCTTGAATGAGTCAACACTAGCAGGGGACATTGCATGAAGGATTTAAGAAAGGTTTTTTTTTAGTCTAAACTAGCATTTGCACAATTTGTTTTTTTAACAACAAAAAAGTTGGTCTCTCACCCTTTTCTTTTATTCTTTCTCCCATCCTCTTAATTTCATCTTCCTCTCTACTACAGTTTTCTCTATTTCTCTCATTCTCATCTTTCTCTATTTCTCTTTCTCTCATCTTTCTCTCATTCTCATCTTTCTCAATTTCTCTTTCTCTCATTCTCATCTTTCTCAACTTCTCTTTCTCTCATTCTCATCTTTCTCAATTTCTCTTTCTCTCATTCTCATCTTTCTCAACTTCTCTTTCTCTCATTCTCATCTTTCTCAATTTCTCTTTCTCTCATTCTCATCTTTCTCAATTTCTCTTTCTCTCATTCTCATCTTCTCAACTTCTCTTTCTCTCATTCTCATCTTTCTCAATTTCTCTTTCTCTCATTCTCATCTTTCTCAACTTCTCTTTCTCTCATTCTCATCTTTCTCAATTTCTCTTTCTCTCATTCTCTTCCTTCTCTATTTCTCTTTCTCTCATTCTCTTCCTTCTATACTTCTCTTTCTCTCATTCTCTTCCTTCTATACTTCTCTTTCTCTCATTCTCTTCCTTCTCTATTTC